AATAATCAAATAAGTATGTAAACATAACCAATAACCTACCATAGCCAATAACAAATAAATGTAACTTATTTTATTTTTGTTGTTCATTCACATCTTATTTTACCTAGTTAACGTTTATTTATTAAATGCATAGTCATCCGGTGATCTAACCGCCTTCTGGAAACGCTTCACAAGTACGTCCCCCGCTTTCATCACTTGCAGTGCCCATCGTACAGGGCAAATTAAACGTGTAACCGGGGTGAAAAGGGTGTTACATTTACTTAATTATGAATGTTGTTACATCAAGGCCGAAAATTAGGATGAGCGCCAACGGTCAAAAATGTTTTTTCCCCTCCCAGAGCTACCAGCGCAGCGCTCCCCAGATCTGGAGCCCTAGGCGAGCGCCAAAAATCGGCCCTGCCTAGTACGGTNGAAACATCTACTTCTTATATCCGTTAGCGCAGCTAGCACCAGATTCTAATAACAACAGCGCCGGTACCGGTGCGCCCTCTCCCTCTCTCCCTTGCTTGCTCTCTCGCTACCACGCTCGCACTTTGGCTGTGAGCTGCGGGCGCCTGATAAGCCAACATCCCCCACTTTCATCACTTACAGCGCCCACCGTACAGGGCAAATTAAACGTGTAACCGGGGTGAAAAGGGTGTTACATTTACTTAATTATGAATGTTGTTACATCAAGGCCAAAAATTAGGATGAGCGCCAACGGTCAAAAATGTTTTTTCCCCTCCCAGAGCTGCCAGCGCAGCGCCCCCCAGATCTGGCGCCCTAGGCGACCGCATATGTCGCGTATGCCAGAAATCGGCCCTGCCAGTACATACAGTGGCAATGTCTCAAGATTTAGCAAAAATACACCTTTATTGAACTTACAGTAACACAAATACTACAAATCCACATAACAAAGAAACAAAAATGAAAAAGAGTCGCCACTTATTATTATTTTAATATAAAGAAAAAAAAAATTTATTTATTTTTTGGGTACCTGGCTGGTGCCCCCTAGCAGCGGCACGCATATTTCAGCAGCGGCGCTAGGCCGCCACTATTTGTATATAGGGGAAACACTGAAGGTTTAATGTTATAGTGAAATATATTTAGTCCAGGCTGTCTGTGTCTAAATGTTTTGCCTGATACATTTTGTTTCTCAAATGTGCCTGTTGTTTTTGATTGTTGAACCCTTTGTTGCTGTAATACATAGCCAGGTCTCCAAAACCAAAAACACTCACTTTAGACTTAGCTTAAGGAATTCCGAACATCTAGAGATAATTAAATGCAATTTCACAGTAATCATCAAAATATTGCAAGCAATTGGTGTGGGTACTGTGTTGTAGATGTTCAGAGTAGAAGGCTGTTTGACGTAACCATGGTTCCTTGCTGGCGTCTAGTCTCAGGTCACGTTGTTAAGACTGGATTACCATGCTGTCTGCAGACCTGTGAGAGTTATTTATGTCCAGTCTTATTTATTAAAAAGAAAATGCTGTAACATGTCAGTGTTTCTCAGACTTGGGAAACAAATGAATATGCTACAAGAATTGCAAAATATTTTTTTGTTTGATGAGGGACAGCATTTCTACCACGGATGCTTTTGTGGTATGGTAAGACTCGAGTGGCCTCACCAGAGTGCAATGGAAAGTGATTGCTAGGAAACACCTCTTCTAATCCTGAAGCAGATTTGTTTTAAATGTAATGCCAGGCAGGCTGTGCTCTATAGATGTGGTTTGCTGCTTCCATTGTCATTATTTCCCTGAAGATGCACGTGTATGAGGCACTTGATCCGCTATCCGTGGGAAGGTTTACTAGAGATGGTCTGGCAGCGGCCGTAACCCTGCTGCAGTCCTAGAGGATTTCATCTGATTGAATGTGTTGTTGAGAGTGGAATAGAGGCGGAGCAGGGATTAACAGCTTAGAGCTTATACTGCGCTGCACTCCGTCATTCTCCTCTTTGCTTCTCCTGCTGATGCAGTGAGGGAAAATGATAGATGGCTATTGCATGGTCTGATGATTATTAGGTCACTTGGCTGGCTTTTGGACTTGGGTGAATCTGGAATCTAAAGATCTAAAGCGCCATGAAGGACCCGTGTCGCATATGTGCTGTTCGTCTGGTGGGAAGCCAGTGTCGCTGGATCTTCAGCACGTCAGCACAGAGGAAGCTACAAGTCATCTTGTCCCATGTGCTGGGCTGGGAGTTGACTCGTGACGGCCGTGGGGAGTTTCTCTGTGGGAAATGTGTGTTCCAGCTGGAGAAGGTGGTACAATGTGATGTTAACATCAGCCAGCTGCAGGAAGAGCACAACAATCAGATCCAGAAGCTGCAGGTGGAGAAAGAGCACCTGATCCAGTGCATTATCCACATCTACAACAAAAACAACCAGGCCTGTAAGAGTGATGTGGAGAGCACCAGCTGCGAGAAGACCTCAAGGGCGGGCAGTCCTGATGATGAGGCTGGGTACCCGCTGGCCTCTGAAGGACAGCCGTTCAGGGAAAGAGGAAGTAGTCACATGGAGAATCGCATGAGAAGGTGTGTGAGTCTGGATGTAATTGTCAGTAAAGGGGCGTTACCAGCGAGATCAAACCTCAAGAGAAACAGAATGGGATCAGCGACGGGGCTCCATGGCTCTATAAAGAACCTCGGTCCACGAGTCACACACCACCAATCACAGAACACGTACCTTGACGTCGTCCAACGCAAAGGAACACTGCCCAGACCTGGAGTCAAAGATCAATCCAAATCCCTGCAGAACCTCAACTTTTCCTTAGACCCCCCTTCAGACCCTCCCCCCAAACTGAAACCCAGAGAGTCCAAGGTGTTTGCTGCCAGACGTGGTGTCCCTGATGACCCCAGAGGAAAGGTTCAAGCCAGAGCGCTACACCGCAGTTCCTCAAGTCAGCCTTCTGTGATCATTGACCTAATTCAGATTCTGCGCTGCATCTCCAAGCAACCTTTCTCTGCCCCTGCAGGGAGCCACATCCCCGTCCTGAAGAGGTTAAACACAGGCCCTCTCAGGACCCGAGCCAAGGGCAGACACAGAGAGGCAGACTGGAAGTCTCTGGATGACCTTACAGAGGAATTTGATGATAAATACACTCCTGTCAGAGTCATGGAGGTAGTTGTTTCATGGTTCCCAGGGGTCCTTCAAATCCTCCAAAGTGTTTGACTTTAAAGGGGAAAAATCCAAGGTCTTTTGTTAATAGACATGGGTCATTAAAAGTGCTTGAATTAATATATAATATTTCTATTGTGCAATATCCTTTACTTAACATTAGTAAATAGGTTAGGGTTTTCCTGCAGTAGCCTGTTCGTTTCACCCACCACCTGAATCTAAAAACTGAGACACAAATGAAACTTGATCCATGTCTCTGGATTTTTCAGAGTGAGGTTCGGCGAGTGGAGTCCTACAATAAGCTGCTGACTGAAAAGTTCACCCAGGCACAAAGCACCAATGATGACCTGAGTCAAACACTGGAGGAAACCCAGAATCAGAACAAGGTACTTTGAGATTTTGCTCCATTTAATATGTTTTTATGATATGGGAGTTTCTTTGGGTAAAACACTTTTCTTGTGCAAACAGGTCCTGTTAGGGCAGCTGGAGGGGAAGGACAATGAGCTCAACTCTGAGAAGAAAAATGCTCTAAAGCGAGACAAAACCATCCAGGGATTTACTCAGGTTCTGAAAGAAAAGGAAAAAGAGGTAATGTTCATACTCTTATTACAAGTGCTATTGCTCTCATTGATCTGTATCATGCATGATTGAACTTGTCTGTTTTGTTTCTGTTCTGCACAGATTGCAGAGCTGTGTCATGAGATTGAGGACCGGGACGATGCTCTGGCCAAGGCTAGAGAAGCAGCACATAAAGCCCAACTGCAGAAATACCAGGCAAGTCCTGCACTTTTATAGAGAGCCAACTTGAATGTTTCTGATAATAAAATGGCTCTGTGTGTCTTTTATGTTCACAAATGATATTACTAAGAGGCACATTTTTGCGTATTTCCCTCAGGGAGTAGAAGAGCACCAAAACCTGTTAATGACGAAGCAAACGGAGCTCGCCCAACTCCAGGGGGAATACCACGCCAAGGTGCTTGAGGCCCAAAAGCTGCAGCGGGGCCTGGACAGAAAGGAGCAAGAGCTGGCTGACCTGCAGCAGGCAAAGGACCAGCTAGAGTTGGAACTGGAGGACCTGCAACAGCAGAAGAAGAAGGGGGACAAGGCCCTGAATGTAAGACAAAAAAACGATATTATTGACTCCAGTCCAGCCATCATTCAAATGACAGATTTGGTGTGACGGTATTGTCATTTCCCCCCCTCCAGGATCTGATCAATCAGCTGAAAAAGCTGAGCAGTGAGATTGGAGACAGAGAGAGTGCTCTGGAGCAGCAGTACCAGGAGCTGCTGGATCAAATCCAAAGAAAAGTGCAATCCCATGAGGTCACCATCCAGCGGCTCACATCCTCTCTGGCTGATAAAGAGCAGCAGCTACAGGTAACACAACTACATGAAACAGATTCACACAGATTCTACACCAAAATATCCAATATGATTGTGTGTGTTAATCAAACACTTTCGAATGGTTGGCCTTTTTTCAGGAGTACATAAACACGGACAGAGGTTTTGAACAAAGTAAAAATCCAGGAGGAAACGACAATGTGCTTTCCAAGCTGCGGCAAAGGCTGAAAGAAAAGGAGAAGGCTCTGGAGGTGAGCAGTCCTTCTCTTGAATCCTCTCACCACAGTGACTTTCATTTGATTCTGACATTGTGCTGTTGTCTCTCACAGCAAGCGCTGGATGAGAAGTTTGCTGCCATAGAGGAGAAAGACAATGAGATACACCAGCTGCAGCTGTCTCTCAGGGAGAAGGAGAGAGACCTGGAAAGACTGAACAACTTGCTCTCTCACAACGAGGAGACCATCGATGTGAGAAGCCATGACCCATACATTAGCCTTTTTCCAGTAATCATTCATACAATGTTTTTTTACAATGCATCTTTCTGCTCATTTCTCTACTTACAGAGTTTTGACAGTCTGATCAAGGAGAAGGATGTGGAGCTGCAACACCTTGCAAACACACTGAAGAACCTGCAGAGAGCAAAACAAGATGTAGAAGACAACTTGAACAGATCACTGAGAGAGAAGGACTCCATCATCATTCAGCTGCAGCTTTCTTTGGAGGGCAAGACAAAGGATATGGATGTTAGTTGGCCCTCCCTCTGCTCCATGTCTTTTGTGTTTTTTTCACTGTTCTGAATAAGGACTGACAAGTACCTGAGATGCTTCTTCTTTAAAACCTTTGTTTTCAGGACATGGCCGAATCCATGCTGAGCCAGTCGCAGACTAATGCTCGCGACCTTGCTGAACAGATGAGCCAGAGGTTAAAGGTCACAGAAGCAATGTTGGCTGAGGCTGTGGCGGCCAGGGCAAGGCTGGTCGCTGACAATGAGAGTGCTGTGGAGGGACTGTTGGCTACAATCAGGAGCAAGGACCAGCTGCTCAAGGTCCTCATTTCATTAAGAAATCAATTTGAATGCTTTCACCCAAAATATATCTTTGTAGCAACCAATCATTATATAATATATTAAAGGAAATGTAATTGCAATGATAATAACATAAGAGGTTATTAGTAATAGATTTAGCAAATTAGAGAATTAAGCAAGTGTCAACACATGGAATTAAATCTATTAAAAAAATAATGAACATATTGAAATATTCATTTTACACAATAAACTAGGGCTGCAATGAGTATACTCTCAGAAACATCCCTTCCATTTCAAGATAATTGGTCTGACAGTCAAAGGCAACTGTCTTTAAATGTCTCTTTTCTATTAGTCCAAAACATTCACACACACATTTACACATGAGAGGCTTAAAATAGCATTTTCTGACATTTCTTCAAAAACGATTTGTTGCAGATGTTCTAATCTACAACTTTAAAATCTGCCATTTGTATGTAAAGAATGTGGGTAAACATCACTTCCTCTCATTTCTTGGATCTGTTTTTCTCCCTTCTCCAGGAGTCTGCAGAGCACTACAACCGCATGCTATCTGAGCGCACTCAGGAGATCCAGGAGCTGAGGAGGCAGCTCACTGACATGCAGCAGAAGCTTGCCACTGCTGAGAAGCAAAGCTCTACAGCAGCCCAGGAGAGTCATTTAGACACTGCAGGGCTCAGAGCCATGCTCGCTGAGAAAGACAGCCTCATCAACGTAAGTTCCTCTGGGATACAACACAGTCACTCAGCTGTCAAATGTGCTTGACTTAGAAGCCTAAGAAGAAGAAGAAAAGAAAACATCAAATCATTCTCCTCTCCTACATTCTGACTTCTAATGATTTAGTGGCATATTTTGACAAAGTCTAAAGGTATCAATGTGTCTCAACGTAGCTAACTTGATATCTTGTAAATGTGCAGAAGCTTCTACAGCGTGGCCAGGAGATGGATCAGTTTGTGGTAGATTTGAGACAGAAGGAGGAGTCGGAACATGTGTTGGAGCTCAGACACACCATCCAAATCATGCAGGAGAAGATGGTTGACAGGGAAGGTGAGGCCTTAGATATTAAAACCTCATCATCTCATGAATATTCATAATAAGTTAGAGTACATCTCGGTCCTATATTTGTTTCTATGTTGTTTTCCCTGAAGCTGAGCTGTCCAGGAGCAACAGTGGGGATAACATGGAGAACGTTCTGCATTCCAAGAAGACAGTCGTGGTCCTGAAAAAGGAGCTTGCACAGAAAACTGAGGCACTGAATAAAGCACTGAAGCGGGAAAATGAACTGAAGGTCAGTCAATTATAAACATTTAGCTTCCACCATATTCTGCACACTTGCTAATGGGTGTCTTATTGGGCTGACTTCAAATGTATTCTCCCAATATTCAGATGTCTTTGGCAGATCTACAGTCATCCCTGTCTGAGCTGGAGGGTCGTTACGAAGGTCAGGCTGCTAACGTGGAGTCCCTGACTTCAACTCTGAAGACCAAGGATGAGATTATTGATGTAAGGGTTCCTCCATTCACACAGCATTGAAGTCAGCAGCCTCTTGTCTTGCAGTTCTCATGTTTTCTTTGATTATGTCTGATCAGGCTCTCCACCAGCGCCTTGGGCAAAGAGGGGAAAATGGGTCTGATCAGACCCAGGATCAGATGGTTGGCTCGGGCATGGAGAGGTCACTGCCTGGGCTCCCTCAGAGAGAGAGGACCATGATTGGAGGAGATAGCCAGCAAGAAGTACACTAACAACCTTTTTTTTAATAAAACACCAGAAAACAACCCATTTTACGCATCGTTCTCTGACATTAAGACTTGTGCTTTTTCATTTCCTGTCACCCTAAAGGCATTGCCTAGCCTTACAGCCTTGCAACAGCAGCACGACTCTCTGAACAAAGCGCTGAGAGCCGAGCAGCAGCTCTACTCCAGCCTCGTCAAGACTGTAAAGGAGCAGGACAGGTAGAGATAATGGTGAATGTAAAAAAAAAAAGAAATTCTGAGTAGCTTCATTTATTTGATGACTTAACCCCTCTGTGTGTTTGTGCAGCGCTCAGCGTCTCCATGCTCTGCAGTTGGAGCTGACAGCAGTGCAGCTCCTCAGGCAGCAGCTGGAGGAGGGCATCAAAACTAATGAGGAACTCAGGGACGATCTGGAGAGGGAGATACTCAGAGCCAAACTCAGAGAAGGTGCAGTACATGACGAGGGGAACTGAATGAAAGTAAATAAAGAAAAATGAAATGAAAAGATTGTTAGAAGAGTTGGGAAGCACAAAGCTCAGGGAGAGTCCTACTATAGGTATGGTTGGGTTCCGAGAAGCGGTTCCTATACAGAACTTTGATTCCATCAGTATCGTTTAGGAAGGTTCATTTCAGTTCTGCTTATCGATTCCTAAGGAAATGTATCTCGCCGCTTTCTCTACTGTTAAACGGGGGCCGGGCGGGAAATGCAGCGAGCACAGTACCGGGGTTAGGAAGCACCAACACTTGGTTCTGAGTAAGAACAAATAACAATTGTCTGGTACCAGGTCTCTCTCTCTCTCACTGTCTCTCTCTCTCTCCGCTCCTCTCTCTCTCTCTCTCTCTCTCTCTCTCTCTCACTGTCGCTCTCCTCTCTCTCTCTCAACCAAATGATACTGTATGAAGTGATTTATAAATATGAATATAGATTTGACTAAATGTTTTCAGAAATATATTTTTCTCTCAGTGAAATTTGCATGGGACTTATTTGTACTCTTAAAGAACCGAAATCAAGAACCAAAGCAGAACCGTAATTGTTAAAACCCAAACGATACCCAACCCTAACTAAAGGTCTTAAGGAAAGCAAACACAAACACCTGTCTTCTTTATCCCCTGTGTTTACTCTAATAATATCCCCTGCTGACAAGCTCACACCCCCTCTTCTTCATCCATCATGTTGTTCAGCATGCACACCTGGTCCTTCCTCTTCATGTTTACTGTTCTTTACTTCATCACCTCCTCATCTGCATGTGTTTTCAACAAAAGAGTTACTACCTGTCTTCTCTGTCACTCTTTCAATGTAATGCATCCTCACTGTCTTTCAGTTTGTCTGTCCTTTATTTAAAAAAAGAAAATGAATAAAGGCTGCTGTTGGCCGATCTTCCTGTCTTTCACTTCTATCATTCTGTGTGCTTTTCTTCACTGTCCGATTAAAACGTTGTTTGTCTGTTGAGTGCATTACTTCTCTAACACTGCTCTGTTTATTAACCCAACGCATCCGACCATCTGTCACATGAGTTAGAATGCATCCCATAAGCATGTCATTACATAACAACTTTATGTATTAAAGGTCATATCGCTGAAGAATGGAGTATATTAGTGAAGAGCAGCTCCCCTGAAATATAAACTGATCAAACAATCCAATATGTATTATGACACCCCGTTGTTTATTACGGTTAGTGACAACAGGACTGCATGTTAAGGTCACATTCACACCAGCCTTGTATAGTCGCTGTGAACGCAGTCCGAGACCTAAAAAGTGAACTAAACAACCGGACTCTGGTCCACTAAAATAGGTGGTCTCGGAGCGCTTGCTAGTGAACTCTGGAGCGGTTCATCGCTGGTGTGAACGCAGTCCGCACCAAAACATAGGAAGCGTAGTATTTACGAGTCACAAGAATGCGGGTGTCTTCAAAATCGTTAGCGAAAGAGTGAAGCAGAATGAAGTGTTGAACAGTGTTGTGTGAAGTAAAAACAACTATCAAACTAAAAACTATATTTAAAAGTCAGAGCCACCTGCCGTCGGTGAAACGCCCTCCTGACTGCAGAACGTCTCTCATTATATGTGTTATAATGTTTTGTATCGCACGTTGTCTGATTATATAATCATATGCGCCGTTGCTAGAATCTGTTGATATGCTCTCCAGATTAACAGCAGCATGAAAATAACCTGCAGATGCTCCATGGCGGAGGCTCCGGTAGAAATTGCCGGGATTTGCGTTTTTACCCCCTTAATGTCTGACCAATGGTTGAACAGCATTTCCGTGCACATGACCTGTGTTTAAAGTTTATAGTCCGTTTGAATTTTGCCTGTGAACGCAAACCGAACCTTCTGAAAAATGAAACAATGTAACAAACTGTGGTCTGGTGCTCCAGAAAACGGACTCTTAGGTGTGAATGCGACCTAAGACTATTTAACATAGAAATCTATAAATGTCAAAAGCTCAGGACTTTTTTAATTAATTAGACATCGCGGCTATTTTCTAAGATTAAAGTGGTACATTTAAGAAATATCTTTTTTCCCGTCACTGTAAGGGTTGTAACCTCTCCACACCCTCACATTCGGGTTTTTTCTTGTCAATTTGTGACTTTAATCTCAAGAAACATAAGCGTCTCTCTCTGTCATTTTATAATAAAACATGACCCTAACACATTGACGTAGATGCAGCCTTGAGACTGATTAAAAGTGTCACTGACTTGTTCTTCCACATGCATGTGCGTGTCCTTCTATATGAGTGTATCAAGTCCATGTTCACCCCGCCCCTCCAGTCTGAAAAGTGCCAGGTGTGTAAATAGGTCAGCTGTAAGTAACAGGCCCATGGCTCACACTGACTACAGGACGACTGTAGCTGCAGTAATTACCACCGGGTACTTTTCCACATTTCTTGTTTTGGTTATATAGTCATTTGAATGTGTGGTACATACAGTGTTGGCATGCTTCATGTAGCCAAACACGCAGAAACATAGTGGTTATATTTCTACATCTCTATATTTGTTTGTGTTATTATGTGGCTACAGATCCCAAACTGTTCTGAACACAGTAGTGTTACCGCTAGCTTACCTTATTCAACTTCAAATATCTGGGATTTGATGTGGACTGAACAAGCATGCCAATATTTCATCAAATGCATATTCTTTCGAGTTTGTACTTATTTGGTTGGAATAACAAATAACTTTTGCAATTATCGAATGTTATATTTTGCACAGATACATATAATAAACTATGAATTTTAAATATCTACACATTTTTCTCTAGAGCTGTGAATCATCCCTTGTAAATCCTGTGCCTCAATATATTTATAGTTTCTAGTATATTGTTTAACTTTAACACAAGGTTTTTTACAGTTTGAACTATTAACAATGCAGCATCTGTATCATTGTCATTTGATGTTTAAGAAGAAAGTGTCCGTCACCATCCTATGCAGCAATGTACTTTGTTGTCACACCAGAGTTTGTGTGTGTGTATGTGTGTAACCTCTCTGTGTATGTGTGTAACCTCTCTGTGTATGTGTGTAACCTCTCTGTGTATGTGTGTAACCTCTCTATGTATGTGTGTAACCTCTCTGTGTATGTGTTCAGGTATGGACCTGATTGATCCTAAAGAGCTGGAGAGCATGAGACATCAGCTTGAAGATGCTCAGCGCTGGAATGCCTCTCTGCAGGCCCGCCTAGGAGCCATTCAGAGCCGTGGAGGAGGGGTCGGTGGGGCCAGTGATGGTGGTAAGAGAGGAAAAACAATCTTTATTCTGTCCTTTCAGAGTTTTGCTGATGGGAGATGTTTTTTTAAATGTGACTCTAATTCTTTCAGGGGAAACTTTGAGTTTCATTGGAGACCAGACTTCCTACATGAGTATCTGTGTGGGAGAGGAGCATGAGGACAGCTTGTCTCAGCTCTCCACACAAGAGCTCAAGCAGAAGGTGATATACCTTTTAAACCTAGTACATGTGTCTCTACTTAACACAACAGTAGATTTGAAAAGTTGTCAAAGAAATGTCACCAAAATACGTAACAGAGTGAAACAATCATGCAAAAGGTTTCAAATGAGTCTGTCTGGGCCTAAGGTGATGGAGCTGCAGGATTCCAGCAGCAGACTTCAGACTTTAAACAATGAGCTGCAGAGCCGACTGTCATTATTGGAGAAGTCGGGCCAAGACGCTTACGTCAAGGAAGACAGAGACGTGGCCAGCAGCAGCAGCAGCAGCAGCAGCAGCAGCCCATTAAAACAGGTTAGAGTCCACAAATGGAGAAAGTTGTACTTGGAAGTTGATTCGTCAAAGTTTATTTTCTTAAACATACAATAAAGGGCACCTTTCTGTAATTGATCTGCAAAGTATGTCCACAAATACTCTGGATCATGTCTTGAGTCATTGTCTAACATCACCTGTATTAGCTAGACCCTCCAGAAAAACGCGGGCAAAATTCCTTGATTATGCGATTAAACATGCGGGGTTTTATGTGATTTTATGCGGTGAAATTGCGGGAAGTTAGGAAATATGCGGAAAGTTGCGAAATATGCGGGGGAAAATAATAACAATTTTTTTAAATATTGGGCTGTCTTATTTATTCTCTCTCACACACAACCTGCCACTAACGTTAAACCCCTTTACTATTCAATTAAACACATTCAATGTTTACTTATTGTAAAAGCAATTGGGCTATTTTAATCTCACACACACACACACACACACACACACACACACACACACACACACACACACACAAACACTTCTCCGCCTCATTCTGTTTTCATTTACTCGTTCGTTATCTGACCAGCTTCAATCTTGTAGGCTACTCACTTCGTTTCTTGTAGCCCTCTAAAGGGTTTTGGAGGTTGATGCCTCGGTGAACGGGAGTTGAATGGCTTTCTTGTCCGCAGCAGCAGAAAGCATTTTCGAATGTTTGAATGAATCAAAGTGGGTCGTCACCGTCGATTTTCTCTTATGCTCCAACACACAGTTGCACGGGGTGCAGAATAGTTTCCCCCCACTTTTTGCCCGGTCTTTAGTAGAAATGTTCGTTGGTAAATGAGCTCTATACAGTGTTGTTTACATTCTGTGATGCGCGAGCTGATGACGTCACGTCAAGACGAGTTCACTTTTTTTTCTTCTCAACTTTGTGTGGAAAAATGCGGGGATTATGCGGCTTTTGATAAATATGCGGCCTTTTAAAAATCTGCGCCATTTTGCTGATTATGCGGTAAATTCTGCGATCGCAGAATCGTGTTTTTCTGGAGGGTCTAATTAGCTCCTTTCTAACCTTTGATCCTACATCTTAACCTTTGCCCTGTCTTTAGCTTGTTACTAATGTGTCCTTACTCTGAAGTAGAAGATCCTCTTTGTCTCCTTCACCTTTCCTAATCACTCCCTGTTTTTCTTCTGTTTCTGTGTCCCATGAAATGCTCTCTCTTCGCCATTCCACATTAGACACGTCATACCATTCTGCTGTTGCTGTGCAGTGTTTTATGGATTCTGTTCCCTCATTATTAAGTTTTCTTTTATCGAGCCATGTGTCATACTCGCCTCCCATCCCATTACTCTAGCAGCCTGAGGAGACGCATGAGATGCAGCCTGTGGCTCACAGTAACAGGACGCATCTCTCCGGTCAGGATAAACAGAGTCAGACAGACATCAAAGTAGGACAGGTATGAAATGGATGACTATTTATTCGATCTTAATAAGCTGTTTAATAAACATAAGACACAAGTTCATGTTAATAATATGGTGAATTCCCTGTGTTTTGTGACAGTGTAACCAATATGTCTTAACTGTCTCTTTTTAGATGTTGCCTGGAAAGCTGTTGGGAGATTTTAGTCTAGACAGTGGCCTTGGCCAGAGTAGAGAGCATGCTCACTCTGCCATCTCCACTTTGGACACTGAAGAGAGACACTCCAGGCAGAGCAACACAGATGTAACGGCACTTAAATCCTTGCTGACTAATTGTGGGGCTGCGTCAGTCTCACACCTCAGGTGGGTCTTTCCTTTGAGCAGTGTCCAGGTCCTGCTCCTTCTTTTCACTCTTAATAGTCTGTATCTTGATGAGTAAACTAATCGAATTTCCGTCAACGCAGAGAGGAGCTGCTCAGACTTCGATCAGAAAATACGGAGCTGCGGGGTCTCCTTAAGGAACAAAAATCTACTGAGAGTAAAGAGAAAGCAAGCACAGACGCCTCAGGGGACAGCAGTGACGGACAGGCTGAATTGAGAAGGAGTCTGGAGAAACTGCTTGCTGAGTCAAAAGGTCGCCCTAAGGTCATCAGTCTGTCAAAGGAGGAAGGAGGGAAGAAATCTAAGGAGATGTCGCATAGGAAGACCCCTCTAACCCCTGAGCCGACTGTCAGCAGCAGTGAGGGGATGGAGAGTTCAGCAGCTAAAGACCAGACATCACACAGCAGGAGTGCAAAGCAGCATGTTGTACGGCATGGGGTAAGTTTCTTCATTAAGTGTAAAGAAACACAGCATTGGGCTCTGTATCAAGTCTAGGTTTTATCAGGTACTTATACATAGTCAGTGTATAAAATACAGGGTGTCCGCGGGGTCTTAAAAAGTATTAAAAGTTGATAAATCAATTTAGCGAAAATTAAGGCTATTAAAAAGTATTAAACAGCATTTTCCAAGGTATTAAGAATGTCCACAGCAACGACAACATGAAACACCCTTTAATTTACTGAAACGACATGTCGGGAAACCCCCCATTGGGCCCCATGCATAGCGCGCCGTAAAATGCTGCTTATTATTTTAAGTTTTGTTGCCTTGCTCTGCTCTGTGGGGGGGGAACTAAACGACTACGGTAACGGGTCCCAAGGTGGGTAGACCGGCATACGCAACGCTCTGGGGGTCCAACGGCTCCTTGTGTAAGCCCTGTATATCAGGGGTACTCAAATACAAATCTTAAAGGTCCAACATTTTCTTTTCAATAAGACAAAGGTCCATTTATTACGGTCATTCACACGAGGTTGCAAAAACAAAAATAATCTGTATGCAGCAGTTTTCATTGTTATTGTGTCTGTGCTTGATCCCTCAGGGTCGCAGTGCAGCTCGAGACTGCCAAGGCACAC